AGAGAGAGAGAGAGAGAGAGGGAGAGAGAGAATATTTACATTGTTTGATTATCCATTATATTACAATTAATAACACTTTATGTACAAAACATAAAATATAATTTTAATCCTTTTTACATTAAAACATTTATGTAAAATTAAACATAATACTCTAGTTAGCAAATTATATTTATCTATTTCCCTATAACCTGATTAAACTAATTTAAAATTAAAAACAATTTGTTATCATATAAAATTATTATTTAATTTTAATAGTATTGGAACATTTATAAAGACCATTGGTGTAAGCGCCATAATTGGCCTGGTGGTTTATTACATCGCGCGATTCTACGCTAAACGATATAACTACCCGCCTGGTCCCATACCATTGCCACTTATTGGCAATGTACTTAGTAAGTATAACTTATCTAGCCTACACGCATTAAATATTTGGTATGTTTTCATACTTTAAACATTAAACATTTTAAAATGTATATTAAAGTAATTTAAAATAAATATAAACTTTTCTATTTCACCTTAAATAATTAAACTTATAGTGTTTCGAAATTACACAACTCATTGGAATGAGGAGATTGTAAAACTGAGCAAGATCTATGGCCCGGTGTTTACCCTATGGATCGGTCCCTTACCATTCGTGTTTATATGCGATCTGGATTTGGCCAGGGAGGCTTTCAATAAAAGTGAATTTACTGGTCGACCAACATCACAATTAGGTAAAAGAATAATTATAAATAATAAACAATGCGTCAAGGTCAATTGCCAGCATCATGTGCATAATCAATATTAATATTAGAAGTATATCGTTAATCAAAACTAAATGATAGTTATTAAATTTAATTTATGCGATATTTTACATTTCTATTTTATGTATCATTAAAATTTATACAAGCTTTATAGAACAATTAAATGATTTAACTGATTTATCAAAATAGTATTTTTATACTATTAGAGAATCAAATAAAATAATAATAATTTTTTGATAGGTTTAACGATAAGACAGCACTTCTAATGCAATAGTCAATGATGTTTAAAATGATTTCGTGAAAATTACATTTGATTTATGAACAGGGTAGACAATATTAAAGCCATGTAAAGTTAATATACCTTTACGGATTTTACGTGGTATTGCAAAAGTTAATTGTTTGACAATATTTTACAAATAATAATGACAACAAAAATTGTTGCAATGTTGTCCAAAATCAATAAGTTAATTAGCATCTTGTTTGAAACGCAATCTTTTTATAATAGTGTATAACTGTAACAATATTTATAAATTTAAAAATAATTAATTTCATTATAAAATAAAAACAATTTATGGTTGATTTCTGTTTAATAATTCTACAATTTTACTTTATAATTAGTAACAATAATACAATTAAATTGCTATCTTATGTAAGAACTGTATAAATTTAAACTCAGTTATTTATTTCCCATAGTAAGTAAAAAAGTTATTAAAAATTATTTATTTAATTTATATTTATAATTAAATTAGTGTTGAACACTTAAATAATTTAATTGGTAAATATATTATTTATGTGATTGCAAAATATAGCAACATTAAATTATAAATTATCCACTGTTGCTACATAAATTAAATGTCTATAAAATAATTGTTAATTTTACCAGGAAGCATATTTTCAAATGAAAAACATAGAGCTGTTATTTTTGATGATTACGGCCACAGTTGGGAAAGTTTACGCCGGATATCGCACACCACTATACGGTATTATAGAATCAAATATAATCTAACACAAAAACTTATTAATTATAATATATTGATGATGCATTAAAAATGTTTATATTTTTAAATGTTAATTATATTAAATTATTACAATAAACAAAATACAATGATACATTATTATAACAAACATATCTACCATATTATAACCGAATTAATCTAACATATTATCCAACATTTTATTTTTATATTATATAACAGCAAATACTCCAAAACACAGGCATTGTCTGAAGTGGTGGCCAAAAACGTAAGCGAAATAATTGACAAAATAGTCGCCACCGAAGGCATCGGTAAACCATTTCGACCCAAACTATACGTTTACAATATGTTTGCAAATATCTTGGGATCAATTGTTTTTAGTCAAAAGTATTGTTTGTTTTAATAAATAATATATTAAATATTGAATAATAGATTAATATAAAAAATTTGCTTTGATTACAGATTTGACATTGAGCAACCTGAATTGAAAAAATTTAAATACGTCACCACAGACTTTCAAACAGACTTGGGTAACTCATTGTTCTTATACGAGTTCATACCAGTGCTGCGCTATTTTATGGCCAATCCATTGATTAAATACAAACAATATTTCGATGAAGTGATGAATTATTCGCGTTATATATACCAAAAACACGACAAAACATATGACAGCAAAAATTTGCGCGATTTTTGTGATATACTTATCGCCGCTAAACACAAATCCATTGCTGAAGACAAACAGACTGCACCCTATTTTACCGATGATAACCTACCGGCTGTTTTAATTGAATTGTTTATGGGTAATATGGTTATAATGTTTTGACAAATCAATTAAGAGCATTTATATTTACATTACTAGCTGGCACCGAAACAACCCATACAACTTTCCAGTGGGCACTTTTAATCATGGCATATAAGCCTGAATATCAGGATAAGTTGCGCGCAGAGATTAGCCGTGAGATCGGCGATCGGGTGCCAGTGGTTGAGGACAAGTCACGGCTCAACTATTCGCTGGCCTTTCTATCAGAAATTTTGCGGCACAAGAATCCGCTACCGATTGGTGTATTTCATAAGGCATTAGTAGATAGCAAAATAGGTATGTGTATTAATTTAATTTAATTTAAAAATACGATTAACAATATTGATTTAAATAGGTGAACATCCCGTGGCCAAAAACACCCAGATAGTGTTGCACCAGGGGGCAATTATGAAAGATTCAAAACATTGGAACAATCCAGACAAATTCGAGCCAGAACGATTTCTTGACGAGCATGGTCAATTTCTACAAACAAAACCCGCGGCTTATATGCCGTTCAGTTACGGTCGCCGCATATGTCCGGGTGAATCGCTGGCCATTAATGACCTATTTTTGGTCCTGGTTAGATTTATGCAATTAACCAGTGAGTATCGCATTGAGCTGCATAGCGAGCATGGTGATCCAACGCCAGATGTACTCGAACCGGACATTGTTAATTTGTGGTTACAATTTCCCAAACCATTTGACATTGTTTTTAAAGCAAAGTAACATAATGTCAACAAACATTTATAAACTACATGGCTAAAATTTAAAATGATTATTATAAATAATAAAACCAATACTTAATAATCTGTTTCATTTTATTATATAAATGCAGTGTTTTATTAATTTTTATATGGATCTTATATACATCAATACTTTTTGTAAAATATAATTTGAATAAAAGTTTTCTATTATCTAGTCATTCAACAAAACTCCGCCACTCTGTTTTTCTTATTACTCATAAACGAAATGAGCTAGATCAAATCTGTAAAGTGCATAATGAGGGTCCATATATCTAGTATTTTTGTACAAAAAATTATTGAAATTACGTGACTAGAACATAGAAATTTTTGGGTCATTTCCAAATGCCATGGTTTTAGCCCAGTTGAAAGGGGGGTCGGAAGGGGGCGGGTGTGCTATCTGGTAGAGGACATGTCAAAGTATATGATAGCAAAGTTTCATAAACATCGAGTAAATAGTCTTTCGTAACGAACAATATATTTAAGAAATTTGACATAATATTTGGACAAAAATAGCCCAATTTTGACCTTTTTATACTACATTTTGGTAGTTATAAAAATACAACTCCAGAACAACTTTTTCCCATAGACATAATTTTAATGAAATCATCAATTTCTCGTAGATGGCTGAACTAATCTTACTCAAATTTTGCTATCATATACTTTGACATGTCTTCTACCAGATAGCATACCCGCCCCTTTCCGACCCTCATTTCATCTGGGCTAAAACTATGGCATTTCGAAATGACCCAAAAATTTTTATGTTCTAGTCACGTGATTTCAAAAATTTTTTGTACAAAAATACTAGATATATAGACCATCATTATGCACTTTACAGATTTGATCTAGCTCATTTCGTTTAGGAGTAATAAGCAAAACAGAGTGGCGGAGTTTTGTTGAATGACTAGATAATATATGTATTGCATGTTTAAATTACTATTATAATTATTTATTTAAATTAATGTTTAATATCGATTATACTGTATTTTGTATCTAAATTTAGTATTGTAACTAAAAAACAAAATTTAATCAACTTTTGTTGCTTATATTTTGCTGGAGAGAGAGAGAGAGAGAGAGAGAGAGAGAATACTAGATATATAGACCATCATTATGCACTTTACAGATTTGATCTAGCTCATTTCGTTTAGGAGTAATAAGAAAAACAGAGTGGCGGAGTTTTGTTGAATGACTAGATAACTACAATATAATATCACACTCTATGGCATAGAGTCTATGCACTACAGAATATTCTGTACACTAAATGCTATAACAGTACAGTAACTGACATCTAGATTGTTTTCAGGTAAAATGATTGGAGCTTAAACATATTTGATTTAATAACCATGTTAATTTATTTAAATTATTATGATTAAATTACGTGCATTAACATTTAAGTATACAATCCCAAAATATATATCCATGGTAAGATAATACCAAGACCTAGATAAAAAAAAGCATACCTTTCACGTTATAATGAACAGCAATATATCAATGCAATCACTGTAAGGCACATAAACTGACGAACTTTATATCCGGACGTACTTTACTATCGAACCAAAGCCTATGCCACACATTGTGTGGTTCCCATAGCGACCGTCAATAACGTCCTGATATATCCTTTTCCTGTTTCTCTCTCACTATTGAAGACATCATAGAAAACGTGTCTTCACTTCAATTCACTGACCAATTGATCCCAAATAGTGGACAGTTTGCCGAAGACTCGCAGCGATGGGCGCTTATAAGTACATTCAGGAGATTTGGCGCCACAAGCAGTCGGATGTGATGCGCTTCCTCTTGAGGCTGAGGTGTTGGCAATACAGACAGTTGAATGTCATCCACCGCTGCCCCCGACCCACCCGTACAGAGAAGGCCAGACGTCTGGGATATCGGGCCAAACAGGGATTCGTTGTCTATCGGGTCCGCATCCGAAGAGGTGGCCGCAAGAAGCAGGTGCCCAAAGGTATGCCCACTTTTGTTGCCATGTGTTTTGTGATTGTGTTGTGATCTGATCCCTGTTTTTCGTTGTTGACCATTAGGTGCCACTTATGGTAAGCCGAAGAATCACGGCGTGAATGAGCTGAAGCCGCGCCGCAACCATCAGGCCATCGCCGAAGAGCGCGTCGGCCGTCGTGTGGCCAAAGCCCTACGCGTGTTGGGCTCCTATTGGGTGACACAGGACTCGTGTTTCAAATACTTCGAGGTATTTACGACCGCCTATACGTTAATAGTGACCACAACTGATCCATTTGTTGAACAATAGGTGATTTGCATCGACCCGTTCCACAAGGCTATCCGTCGCGACCCGAAGGTGAACTGGATCTGCGCGCCCACACAGAAACACCGTGAGCTCCGGGGGCTGACCAGTGCCGGCAAGAAGCACAGAGGACTCGGCGGACGCGGTCACGGCTACAGCAAAGTGATCGGCGGCTCCCGTCGGGCCAATTGGCGCCGAAGACAGATATTACAGTTGCGACGAAAGCGTTAAATCACTTGAGATATTAAGACATTGTTTTTGTGACCGATTTTTAAGATAATCTTTTCGTTTTTCGCAACTGTATTTCGGAATTAATTAATAAAATTATTAATTTTTCTCGTGATTTAATGTTTAGCTCTTATTTTGCGGTCATATTTGTAGACCTGATTTGTGTCTCAATCGATGAATAATGTCTTCAAATGGTGTTTGAAATTGAGATTCAGTTTTTGTTATAGATTTTGAGTTTTTATTTTAATTATTTTATAGTTATTTACACACATTTAAACTGAATTAATGTTTAATTATATATTTTAATACAAAATATAAACTAATTGTCTATAAAAAAAGAGAAAGTGACCACAAATACGAAATGAGCGATCGTTAGCCGCATATCTTAGCCTTAATGGTCTCGTATTCCGGTAGACTATCGGTGGGTCCGACGGCGGCCATCACTGGACTCTTGCCGACGATATACTTGCGGCAAACGTTGCGCACGATATCGGCGTTCACGGCGTCTATTCGGGCCTCCATTTCGGGCAATGGTATGCGTCGGCCGTAACACAGCATTTGGCGGCCGATGTCTTCGCAGACGGGCGTCGAGCCGTCCAACTGTAGCAACATATTGGTCTTCAGCAGATCCTTGGCTCGAGACACCTGTTCATCGGTCACTTCGTTACACAATTGGGACCACTGGTGACCCAAATGCCAGACAAACTCCTCCAGCGATTGCTTCTCCGCCACGAAATACACGCCCCAAAGACCGGTGTCTTTATAGCAGGTGTTGAACGCCTGAAAACTGTGGCATAGGTTGCGCTGCGCGGCCGACAGAGCCATATATGACGAACAGTTAGAGCCCGAGCCCTGCGACCGGTCCCACGAGCCGATGAGAGTGTTGGCCACCATTAGGCTAATGTTGTCCGCATTGGCCCAACCGACGGTCTCCAGAGCGATGGCCGCGTACGCCAATGGCATCGAGTGGTCATTCACTCTGATATCGCAGCCGACGAACGGACACGGCTTCAGCACCGACTCGTCCACCGACCCATCAATAGTGCCAAAGTGTTGTTCGCAAAGCGCGACCAACTGCTGGTGATCGACACCGCCAGCGCCGGCCAACACGAGCCGCGGCCCGCGATAGTGGCCACTGATATAGTCGATGAGGTCCTGGCGCTGAATCTGCTTGATATTCTCGGTGGGCCCCAGAATAGTCATACCCAACGGCGTGTACTTATAGGCCACGGAATGCAAGTGATCGAAGACCACTTCCTGAAGGTTGGTCTCCACCTCTTGCATCTCACGCAAGATCACCGACCGCTCCCTTTCGATCTCTTCGGCGCCGAAGCGCGAGTGTTGCAGAATATCGGCCAATATCTCCATCGCTTTGCCCACATCTCTGGACAGACACTTGGCGTAGTAGACGGTCTGCTCGCGGGAAGTATAGGCGTTCAGATGTGCGCCCATATTCTCGATCTCCAGCTCCAGAGCGGTCTGCGTTCGCGAAGCGGTTCCCTTGAAGGCCATGTGCTCCAGAAAGTGGGCGACACCGTTGGTCTCGTCTGTCTCGTACCGCGAGCCGGCGTCTATCCAGAAGCCCACAGTACACGTGGGTATACCCGAGTCTTCGGTGGCCACTCGGATGCCGTTCTTCAGCGTCGATACTTTGGTCTCCGGTATGTTTATGACGGGACGCGCGACCGCTGAGGCGGTTGTGGCCAACGATTGTCTCAGCGCTGGTCTCACGAGTGGTCTTCGGGGCCGGCCTCTATCCTACGGTAATGAGCACTCAACTGAAGACCGGTCTATAGCCGGCTGAGAATCGTGTGGCAAACTACTGTACTAACACACCTAACAGACTACATTAGTTGCGTTCTGTAACCCACATGTGAACAGCAATTACGTCCGCAGAGAGTCACCCAATGGATCAGTTTAACAATTGTTAAGATTATTGGCGCGTGGATTACCGGTTGACCGAAGACACGGATCAATCAATAGGTGATCATTAATGAGAAGTTGTGATGATTTTACGTTAATTTAAGACAATTAATCATTTGTCACACTCTTTGTGAACGACCCCTAACTCTCTCACTGTATCACATGTTTTGTCTGCAAAACAATAATAAAAACTTATTTTTTCGTTGACTTAAAGTTTTGGTCACCGATTGTCGGCCGAAGACATGCCGATCGAGACCAATGGCCACACCATCACCGATGAGCTGATCGACAAGTGTTACGCGATGGCAGAGACGGGTCTCCTCAGCGGCGAAGTGCCCGTCGGCTGTCTATTCATTCACTTTTCGACCGCCGAAGAATGCAATGCCGGACCACCGATGGAGACGATAGTGGCCTCGGCTCACAACCAAACCAACCGCAGCCGTAACGCCACCCGACACGCGGAGATGGAGTGCGTGGATCAGCTCGTGGACCGATACGGACCGGACCTGTCTGTGATTCACGCCGTGATGGCCGACATCACCGTATTGTTGACTCTGGAGCCGTGTCTGATGTGTGTCCGCGCGCTCCGACACCTGAGGCCACGACAGGTGCTGTTCGGCGCCCGTAATGACCGCTTCGGTGGCGATGAGTCCGTGTATAACGTGTCGACCAATGGGCTGATAGACGAGCCGCCCCTTCGCTGCCTTCAAGTCTTGGACAGCGATCGAGCGGTGGATCTGTTGCAGCGGTTCTACCGCCAGACCAATGAGTCGGCGCCGAAGCCGCACCGGAAGCGACTCAAGAAATCGTGAATTTTGTTTAACACAAGTTTTTTAAGACTATTTTTATGTATAACTCATTATTTATCGCAATTAAAGTTTTAATAGTAATTATATTTGTAAATAAAAATTAATATTATTATTCAATACATGTTATCATTATTTTGCATCTCATTTATAATTAAAATTACATTAATTGTTAATTAAAAACAATTACCAACATCAATTCGCCACCAGAATATTCCTGGTATAAACTTAACAATGTTACAAACGTAACGTAATTTGTGAACAGCGCCCACACATAACAGGATAAAAACGTATTGAAAATTGTGTTTTGTTTACAACAGTATATATTGTGTGACAAAAAAACCAATGCTTTATAATAGACACCAATCGTACCGATAATTGGCCGCAAAAGTCCGGCCAAACATTACGAGTAGTGCAACAAAACTCATTGACAACAACACTCGGCTATCGCAGCGTCCCATCGGGTGAGCGGTTCCCAAGAAGTGACCAGCGATGCCGCGAATCATGATAAAGGGTGGCGTTTGGCGCAACACCGAAGACGAGGTGCTGAAGGCGGCGGTCATGAAGTACGGGAAGAACCAGTGGTCGCGAATCGCTTCCGTTCTGCACCGAAAGTCGGCCAAACAGTGCAAAGCGCGATGGTTTGAATGGCTCGACCCGTCCATCAAGAAGACCGAGTGGTCGCGCGAAGAGGAGGAGAAGCTCATCAATTTGGTCCGTTTGATGCCCACTCAGTGGCGTACCATCGCGTCCATCGTCGGGCGCACGGCATCGCAATGTCTGGAGCACTACGAGCAGCTCCTGGATCAGGCCCAGCGCAAAGACGAAGACGGTGTGGCCGGTGGTAGCGGTTCCAGCGCCGCCGCGGCGGCTGACGATCCGCGCAAACTAAAGCCCGGAGAGATCGACCCGAACCCGGAGACCAAACCCGCGCGACCCGACCCTAAGGACATGGATGAGGACGAGCTGGAGATGTTGTCCGAAGCGCGCGCCCGTCTGGCCAACACTCAGGGCAAAAAAGCCAAACGCAAGGCCCGGGAGAAACAGCTGGAAGAGGCGCGACGACTGGCCAGCCTTCAGAAGCGTCGCGAACTCCGAATGGCCGGCATTAACGTCGGGCTCCGGTCGCTGAAGCGTCGCCGCGGTATTGACTACAACTCGGAGATACCGTTTGAAAAGCCAGTGCCCGCGGGCTTCTACGACACCAGCGAAGAGGCGTACGAACCCCAGGACCAGGACTTCCGTAAACTACGACAACAACAACTCGACGGTGAGCTCCGGTCGGAGAAGGAGGAGAAGGAGCGCAAGAAAGACAAACAAAAGCTGAAACAACGCAAAGAGAATGATTTGCCGAACTCGTTGGCCAACGCCGAAGAACCGACCAAAAAGCGGAGTAAACTCGTTTTGCCGGAGCCGCAGATCACGGACGCCGAGTTGGAACAAGTGGTCAAATTGGGTAAAGCGAGCGAATCGGCCAAAGAGACCGCCGAAGAGTCGGGCAATCGGGCCTCTGAAGCACTGCTGGCCGACTATTCCATAACAGCCGCGGCTAATGCGGCGGCCATTCGTACGCCCAAGTCGTCGGCGCTGAGTCGCGACACTATCCTAATGGAGGCCCAGAACCTGATGGCGTTGACCAATGTTGACACACCGCTGAAGGGCGGTCTCAACACACCGTTGCACGAGTTGGACCCGTCGATCGCCGGCGCCATCACTCCCGGCGGCACCGGTAAGACACCGCTATCGGTCACACCGAACAATATGATCGCCACACCCTTCCGGACGCCATCCGGCGGTGCGGACAGCAGTTTGGCTGCCACTCCGCGAACGCCCGGCTCTTCGGTTGGCGGTCAGACACCGTTGGCCACACCGTTGAGAGACAAGTTGGCCATCAATGCGGAAGAGGCGCTGGTCTTCGAGGGCGACGAGCGGTCGGCAAAACAGCAGCAAAAGGAGACGCGGGAAACGCTGCGCAAAGCGTTGTCCGCATTGCCGGCGCCGAAGAACGAGTACGAGATTGTGGTCAACGACGAGGAAGATATGGACGAGTCGGCCGACGCCGGCCTATCCGTCGAAGATCAGGCCGACCTCGACGACCAGCGCGAGCGGCGCCGACTGGAAGCGCTGGAAGAGGAGCGCCGACGGCAGTCGCAACCCGTGCAGCGAGAACTGCCCCGACCCGCAGATGTGAACAACTCTATACTGAGAACCGGCGCTCAAGCGACTGATCCCCAGATGTCGGCCATACAGCGGGCCGAAGAACTCATCAAAGAAGAGATGCTGGTTATGCTCCACTACGACGCCGTACACAACCC